TTTATTAGTGAAGCTCTTTATCTGGCCTTCGATTCTGAGAGATAGCTTTGCTGGGTAGATTATTTTTGGCTGTAGATTCTTGCTATTCATCACCTTGAATATTTCTTGCCATTCCTGTCTGGCCTGCATGGTTTCTGTTGAGAAGTCAGCTGACAATCGTATAGGTGCTCCTTTATAGGTGACTACCTGCTTTTCTCTTGCTGCTTTTAATATTCTCTCTTTGTCTTTTGCTCTTGGAATTTTAATTATGATGTGTCTTGGTGTGATCTTCTTTGGATTCCTTTTGTTTGGAGTTCTGTGTGCTTTCTGGACTTATAAGTCTAATTCTTTCACCAGGTGGGGGAAGTTTTCTGTCACTATTTCTTCCAGTATGTTTTCGATATCTTGCTCTCTCTCATCTTCTGGGACCCCCCATAATTCTGATGTTGGTTTACTTGAAGTTGTCCCAGAGGTTTCTTACACTATCTTCAACTTTCTGGATTCTCTTGTCTTCATGCTTCTGTAGAGGAGTATCTTCTGGCTCTCTATGTTCCAAATCTTTGACTTGATTCTTGCGAGCTTCCATTTTGTTTTTAAGACTCTGAATAATATTTTTTATTTCAGACAATGTATTCTTTATTTCTTGTTGATCCCTTATTATTTCTTGTTGATCCCTTTTCATCTCCTCATAGGTCTTATTGACCTTTTCTAGGAAATTCTTGAAAAACCTTATAAGCATGGTTTTGAACTCTATATCCAGTCTCTTCTTTTCCTTCATTTCTTTTGTTTGTGATCTATTTCCTTGTCTCGGCATTTTCACAGCTTCCCTGAGTTGGTAGGGTGGCTTTGTGTGCTAAGGAGTCCTATATGGTTCAGTGAGTCAGCCTCCCAGTTACCTGAGGAGGATAGTCTTGATGTAGCCCTTTGTGGGCTGTGTGTGCAGTCTTGTTGTTAAGCCTTGCTTGTTGTTGGTATCACTGGGAAGTGTTGATCTCCAAGCCAATTGGCTATGAGGATCAGAAGTGTCTCAGCTAGGAGGGTTTCTGTATTCCGCTTGAATGGGGTGGAATTTCTCCTTCCCAGACAAGCTTTGTTGAATCCCACACAATTGGTTGCAGACAAGCTTTAGATTCCTGTCTGCCCCTCTCTAGGAGAGTCCTATTGGCAGCGAACAAGGAAGCTAGCCATTGGAAGGGCTTCTGTGTTCTGCTTGGATGGGGCGGAGTCTCGGGTGGTGCAGACAAGCTTTATTCAGCCCCTCCCTACGAGGTTCTGGTTTCTGAGTTCCGCAGTAATGGCTGCTGGCTTCACACACCTCCGAGAGATCTCTGCCCACTGCCCAACAGTCTGGCCTCTCCCTGTCTGGGGCCGTCTATCAGCGCAATAAGGTGGTTCTGTTTTCCTCCCGAACAAGAAAGCCAGCCACTAATGCTGTCCGCCCTCTCTGCATGCAGGGAGTAAGCCAGTAGCGAACTCAGCCCGCCCTCTCTGCGCTCCGCAAGCAAGCCGGCAGTGAACTCTGTGGCCGCCTTTTCGCACACACAGTTCTCCGCACCTTCACAGTTCCTGAGGTTCAGCGTGCCTTCTTTCTCCTTCCCAGATGGTAGAGCCTCCTCTCAGCCAGCCGTCCGGTGCTTCAGGGTGATGTTTCCCCTGTTTTTCAGTTCTAAATTCAAATTTGTTGTGGTAGGCTGCATTCGGGTGTCTACCTTATGCCGCCATCTTGGTTTCTCCCATTTTATGAATTCTTTTAAATATTCCTGCCCTAACCTGTTTGGCTCAGTGGATAGAGCATCAGCCTGCGGACTGAAAGGTGCCAGGTTCGATTCCAGTCAAGGGCATGTACCTTGGTTTTGGGTACATCCCCAGTAGGAAATGTGTAGGAGGCAGCTGATCAATGTTTCTCCCTCATCAATGTTTCTAACTCTATCCCTCTCCCTTTCTCTCTGTAGAAAATCAATAAAAATATATTAAATATTCCTTGAGAATTAGTGTATATGCTATAGATTAGTCTTAACAGATCTTTTCTATAGCTGGCACAGCCTTTAAACTGACCACCGCAAATCGGGCTTCCAAATGTATGATGTGTTGGTGCATTTAAAATCAAGGGGGCTACAAAGCAAAATGCATAATAAGAATGCCAAGATCAAGCCTTAAAGTCACATTGGTGTGCTTTGTTTTTTTTAAGAGACTGTCTTCAGTAACACCGAGGGGTTAGATTAAACTTGCCAGATGTTCAATGGCCCTGAAAATAAATTCATAGCACCAAGGCCAACCCAAACCCAGATAATTAGCTAAATCATCTAGTGGTTAGAAACTGTACAGGCTATAAGAGAGTTGAATTGTTTCTTTGTCACCTTCCCTAGTTTATATTCCAATGTAATTAAAACCCCATTAACATTGAATTCCTTACGTAATCACAGCCCATTTGGCAGGACTGTGGGGCTGCTTCAACGTGTAATTAGTGAGGCTAAGTCAGGTGAGGGTCAGATTTATCAGTAGATGTGGGTAAGCCCCTGAAAATGAGCTAGCATATGTCACATTTCTCGTCTCCTACCACAGGGCTGCATGAAAGGCAAGTGGAGGGGTGTTTTAATGGCCTGCGCTGCCATTTGTGTGCCTAAATGTATGTTGTAACCTAATGTGTATTGATGTCTGCAAATTACACTTGAAAGAAAAATAACCATGTCAACGTCTGCCGACATTAAACAGTGGGAGATTTTGTCAAGGTTTTCAGACTTTCCTCTGCCCTCAGATTTTTCTTGGTAGCATTTATGTACAAGGCATTTCTTTTATTGTATCCCATGACCCTCCTTGCTTATGAGAGAAAAAGGAAGTCAATGGGGTAGATTTTTTATTTTTTATTTTTTTTGTCCTTTCAAACCAAAAGGCAGTCTTGGATTTTTTTTCTTTCTTTCTTTCTTTCTAATATTTTCTTTAAATATTTTTTTTTAAACGAAACTCTTAGCTGGTGATAGTTTGCTCTTATAAAGACCACCACCCTTTTCATCCTGTTTCTTCATGTTCCGTGGTATCATAATTATTTGTCTCCCATTTAGCCGCAAGGTGTAAATTTGCTAACTGAAAAGGCGTGCTCTAACAGCTCACCTCACCGTGTGTCTGAAAGCTGAGCTGGCCGTTCTGGATAATTTCCCTGGGGGATGGTTCTGTGTGATGTGGGGCCATTTGTTGAGCTGTCTGATGTGGAAGAAGAGAAAATGAAAGGGCCTGCCAGACAGAAGCAGGCTCATACAGTGCCTTTGAGAGCAAAGAGGGAAATCAAAGGGCAATTTCAGGTCCACTCCAGTTCCCCAAGCGTGTGCCTGGGAACTAGAGAATCGGGATTTTTTTATATTAGTGCTGTCAGAAAAGTCACTAAGAGAAAGCCCCAAGCCATGAGGCAATGGCAAATTTAGTAATACTCATGGGCTGTGCTCGGAAATTACCACCAAGTCAGAATATTTCCATAGGTGCCTGGGAGTTACTGATTCTTCAAGGGTCTACAAAAATGTTTGGAACTAGAAAAACATGGAATTCAGATAATCCACCCAAGATAAACTTTTTTGGAGTTTAGAGTCAATATCAATGTACTCCAAAAATAAAAAAGTATCTAGAAGGTAATTAAATGTTTAATTGAATGTCTAAAAAATTTTCATTATCAACTTAAGTATTAAAAATGACATGGAAAAACAAATTGTGAATTCATCTTTCTTACTTTTAAGGCTTTGAGCATGCCAGTCACAAATTCAATGAATTGCACATAACCAACAATTTGAAATGCAAAAGTGTAAAAATTCCTTTCATTTTTTTACACACAAAAAAAATGTATAATTTTAGATGGAATGTGGGGGCCACTTAATGTTCTTTGTATGACGTGTGTAGTAGGACTGAAAAAGAGAGCCTAGAGCCGTGGCAGGTGTTAGAACAGCTTTGCCTGTCTGCAGGTCTCCAGGTGTGTGGTTATTCTTGAAGATGCAGATCAGCAAAGACTGGAGTGGGGAGGACCGGCAGGCAAGGCAGGGGGAAAGGCGCCGGGTTTTTCTTGCTGTATGCATTCACAGTTGAGGTGGAGCAAGCACAGTAGTGGTCTGAGCGTGAGGAAACTCACAAGACACCTGCCTCCACATCACTGGGAAGATCACAGGAAGGTGCCCAGTTCTTTGGAAGAAGGAGTGTTCATATGAAGTTGGGGCATGTGGGTAGAACTCCACTGTCACCTTACCTGAGTTGTCTTCTCTCCCAACAAATGCATAGGTCCTCACCTTCTACTGTGTTTTAGTCACCTTTCCTCAACCTGTCAGATATTTCCACTTTTCACATGAACAGCTTGAAGCTGTGGGGGTAGGAAAGAAGATGGATTATCTGAATTCCATGTGTGATGAGCCTAGTCCAATTCAGTGACCTTACTTCTTCGGGTGTTACTTATTCTTGTTGACCACACGTGGGCAGTGAGTGTTGGCTCCCTCCAAGAGACGTAGGCAATATGACCCTTCCTTATAATCTTATTCCCAGCAATAATACTTTGGAATAATCATTGCAGAGTTTTTTTCTTCCCATATACTAAAGTATCATTATTTGTTTTCAAAATGAGATAGAAGTAAGCTTTCCTTTTTCTTTTTCTTTTTTCTTTTTTTTTTTTTTTTTTTTTTTACTTAATATAGCTTAGATTTTTTTTTTTTTATGTCAATATATGTTTGCTCACTCCATTTGTTTTAATGACCATAATATTCCACTTGGTGGCTGGGGCCTAATTGACTTAACTGCCTTCTATTGCTGGGCAGTTTAGTTGCCCATTCAATTTTGATCATTTGGGAGCATGCACCATATACCTAAACAAACCATTATATTGGCTACAAATATACACTCTGAGCCCCTTGTGTTGGCATAGTCCTTCTCAAAGGAGCAGGAAAAAAATACCCACAAATATTTCCCTACGCTGATGATTGTTATTAAGTGTGAAACCTGTCTGTGCTTCATCTTTCATTTATTTGTCTCTGTTTTTGTCTTTTTCTCTTACACAGTCATCTACAGTCAGGGACAAGGATGAACCAACTCTGCCGGTAGGAAGCAGTGGCCCTGTCTGTATGTGCCTGTAGAAGGGGATGGGAGTGTGAAGAAGGGGCTCGTGTGCTCAACAAATCCCCCTCTCCCTTGGAACACTGAGTGGTTTGATCTGCGGCTGTGTGTGTGCGTGCTGTGGCCTACAATTAGTGTCAATTGAATCCTGACATTCATTGACCAATTGTCTCTGGGACTGTTTCAAAAAAGCCTGAGTTCTCTCTTTCATTCGGCATGAACTTTTATAGGAGCTGAAAGAATGAGATAGTCCCACATTACATTCCAAGGGATGTTGAGCTGATATTTGGGGGCATTGCGGGGAGGCATCTAATGCTTGATATCTGTTTCCTTTATGTATCTGCATGCACCTAATTTTTGGTTGGAAATTTCTTTTGGTTCCATAAAAAGAAAAACTGCATGAGATCTATATATGTGCATAATGCCCAAAAGAATGCTTCCAGTTCTTTTATAGCTATCATGCTTTGCTAATGAAGATGTTCACAGCAGAGTCCTGCCAGTTTCTCAGAATAAGAACCGTAGTCATAGTGGTCATGACCGATTATTAACAACAAGCACATGTTTCAGTTCCTGTCCAATTAGCACGTCACATCTGTGTGTGAAGCATGACAAGGAAATGAACTTCAGAGTTTTTGTCTTCAGCCATTAAACAGTGATTACATTTCAAATCTATTCAAATCTCTTAACCTTGCCTCTAAAATATTTTGAACCTTAACCAACTGAATCAAAATAACACAATGCATTAAAAAACGTTACAGATTTCTTAAGGCAGAAGGGCATAGGAATGAAGATACATACTGCTCCATCCTTCCTCCTCTAATGCTCAATGCCAAGATGTATGACACTCACTGAGAGCCCACAGTCTATGCCAGATCCAGTATTGGGCTACCGGTACAGACCCAGTCTCTTCCCTTGAAGAGCCCATGATCTGGCTCATCACTGACACACCAGTAATCCCCTCTGATTCTTCTCCAAACACTGCAAATCTGGGAACACACTTTCTAGTAGAATATCAATCACAATAAAATCAGACTAAGAAATCCAGACATTTCCATGTACTGCATACTGGCATTTTACTCATGCTTGAAGCTTACCATAGGTTTAATGTTTGTCTCCAAACACACAGTCTATGATTGTTAATAAATATTCTTCAGAGGAAGGCTCCATGGGCAATAGTTCAAAAACTGTCCAAGTTTACCAAGTTAACCTGATTTAAAAAAATAAATTAAAAAAAAAACTTAGTGGTCTAATGTGTATCTTAAAACTCGAAAGTTGCTTTGGTCTGAGGTATAGCACTTTCCAAAGTATTTGACCATGGAATTCTTATGGGACTTTTCTTGGGAAACACTGTGTGAATCTGGAGTACAATGGAACATTTTGAAAAATTCTGTGTTGTACAGATTGGAAGGCAGTGGGAAAGCATATTTTATTTTAACCAGATCCCAGAAAAATCTCATGTCAAGAATTTGGATCAAAAATTCAATAAGAAATTCATATCTGCACATTGTGTTGCCCTCTCTTAAATCTTTGTCTGCGAAGCTTGGCCTCTGGAGCGTCGTCCCCTGTGTTAACCAACACAAAATCAATCCAAGGAGAGGACAGTTCCTAATCAGGATAAAAACCAGTTGCAATCCACTGTTCGGATATTTTTTTTTTTTTTAGATTGTTTGTTTTTGGAGATTTTAGAAAAGAATTTGGCCAAAACCGGTTTGGCTCAATAGATAGAACATCGGCCTGTGGACTGAAAGGTCCCGGGTTCGATTCCGGTCAAGGGCATGTACCTTGGTTGCTGTCACATCCCCAGTAGGGGGTGTGCAAGAGGCAGCTGATTAATGATTCTCTCTCATCGATGTTTCTAACTCTCTATCCCTCTCTCTTCCTCTCTGTAAAAAATGAATTATATATATATATATATATATATTTTTTTTTTTTTTTTAAGAGTTTGTTGGTAATCTCACCTCTAGAGGTTCATTGTTCCTCTCTTACCCGCCAGTTTCATTTATTTGCCCAAAGGTTCACTCTAGCAGGAATTTATACAAAAGAAATCCTCCTTTGAAGTTAGGAAGCTTCTCTGTAGATTCATAAGTGGTTCTTTCTCTTTAAATCTCACTCAACACAGGCCATTGGGCTTCATGGACTAAAGCTGTGGTCCAGGGCTGAGAAGAGGAACCCTACGAGATGTGTGAAATGTTCTTTTGGGGAGAAAGAAATAGTAACACCTCTATTGTCTACTTTCAATATTATTCTTCATAATTTCCACCTTTTCAAGTGTTTTATAATATATATGCTCACTTTTTAGTATAGGTATGGATATAGATAGATACAGATAAAGATGGTTACATATGCATACATATACATACTCAAACATTTTACTTATAGAGTGCACAATCCAAACATTGTAGAGATCATTCACAGGTTCAGGTAACAAATTCTGAGAGAAGCAAACTTGAGATTCATTCCTTTACCCTCCATTTCCTATCTGTGTGAATTGGACACCTCATTTTACTTCTCTGTAACAGTTTCCTCATCTATCTAAAGGAAATAATAGCCTGACTGGTGTGGCTCAACCTATGAACCAGGAAGTCACCATTCGATTCCTGGTCAAGACACATGCCTGACTTGCAGGCTCCATCTCCAGTAGAGGGTGTGTAGGAAGCAGCTGATCAATGATTCTTTTATCACTGATGTTTATCTCTCCCCCTCTCTCTCTGAAATAAATTTTAAAATATTTTAAAGGGAATAATAACAGCACCTCATTCATTTAATTCATTTTGTGAATGAAGCATATAGCATATTGACTAGCATTTACTAAGCTCTAAAAATGGTAGCAAATTAATTTGTTTCGTAGGAAAGGCTGTGAGAAAGCCATTCCTTTGGGGGATTTGAAATGTACCTCGGGAATGTTTGGTTAACAGTGTGTGATCATGTGACAGAAACAAGTGACCACCAGACAAGGGGAGCATCTTATCTGTAATGCACTTGCCTTTGGTTTCTGAGAACTAACAGCATCTTTGTCTGGTTTCTCTGTTCAGGCTAAGCCACGTCTCCAGCGAGGTGGAAGCTCTGCCTCCCTCCACAACAGCCTCATGAGGAATAGCATCTTCCAGCTCATGATACACACCCTCGACCCACTCGCTGAAGGTAAACACCGGCTTTAGTTTGGAAGCTTGTTTTGGGGGAAAGAGGACATGCTTCTCTTCATAAAAACATGTTGAAGCTTCCGTCACACAAGCCTGCCAATGGCCCCATGCTTAGCATCTTCCAGAGGAAGCCCTGGTCCTCTGGTGTGCTTTCAGTTCATAATCGGAGATGTTTGTCCCAGGAGTAGAATGGACATCCATGTGCCTTTTGATTCTGTCTTTTGATTCCTCCGGCGTAAATACACTTTGTTCTGAGACAGAGAAGACAATGAGGTTTTCCTCTCTTCCTGCTAGACAGTTCCCCTTCGCATCCTTCCTAAGTGCCATAATGAAGTTGTTTATGCTAAGATAAATTGTGCCTCTTTTAAAAAGAAGAGTGAGAAGAGAACTCATGACTTAGGAGGGCCAAGAGTAGTTTGGGGAACGATGTTCACTGCTGCACATCGATGTTGTAGTAATTCTTTGGCAATTGGAGGGTGTGAGCCCTCTTTAAAGTAAGTGCTTAGGATTGGTCACGGGAGCCCCAACAGGCCTGATTCACCTCATCGGGAAATCATATGAGCCACCCCAAAGACTCCACTATGGAGTTCTTTCAGTTTTACTCATTCCCAAGGAAGGCATATACATCAAGTTTCTTATATTGCATAAGTGTCCTAAAAAAGTAATTTTTCAGGTAGTTGATATTTTATGTGTCAAATAAAGATCCTAGTTAGGCCACTAGCAAGGGTGTCATATTAACCAAGTCTGTTCTCCCTTCGCCCATGGACTGTATAATTGGGCCTGATATTACACAGAGACTACCAACTTGGGGAAACGGTCTCTGCTTCTGAATAAACATGAGGGATGAGATTGACAAATAATGTCGCATAAATCAGAGCTTGGACCCGATAGGAAGCTTTGCTAAGTAATGTCCAGGCTATAGGCAATCGGAGATTCAGATGAAGTAAAGAAAACTCTGGGACCTCAGGAGCGGCTCCCCAGTCCTAGCTCCCCTCACTGACACACACCATGCCCCCAGAATAATAGGGAGGAGTCACCACTCACTGTGGAGTTTCTCAATGATGAAAATTTTTTTCATTTTGTTCCCCAGAGAGTTATAGAGCTAACATGATGTTCTCCAAGGAGCCCTGCTTCATAGACCCTGAGTTCTATATTCTAGCCAGACACATCCTAAATAGTTTACTCTATTTACCCTGAGGCCCATTGGACAAGGAAATTAGACTTGGTCACTAGCCTTCTTCTTCTCCTGAGCACACCCCAGAGAAGGAAATGAAGGGATCACAGGTCCACTTCCTCCCAGCCACTAAGCCCTTGAGTGGCTTTGGGCAGGTTAGAGTCCCACCAGCATATACTTGGTTTCTTCATCTATAGTAATAGTCAGTGACCTCTGTTTAGCACTTCATAGTTGACAAAGCATTTTCACACCTACATTATGATTTATAATAACAGTTCATAGCTAATATTATTATTCTAATTTTATATCATTCCATTAAAACATCTCAAATTTATCTACTGCTCTCTCTACCAGCACGTTGTTTCAAGCCATCTCCATTGCTTTCCTGGATTCTTATAGTAGCTTCCAAGTTGGTCTTCTTCTTTCCCCATTACCTTCTTCTTTGTATATTTTCCACACGGTGGCCCAAGTAATCTTTAAAAGTATTAGATTCCGGTCAAGGACACATACCTCAATTGCAAGCCTGGTCTTGGCCCGTGCAGGAGGCAACCAATTGATGTGTCTTTCTCACATCGATGTTTTTCTCTCTGTCTCTCCCTCTCCCTTCCATTCCCTCTAAAAAAATCAATGGAAAAATAGCCTTGGGTGAGGATTAACAACAACAAAGAAGTGAATGCAATTATGTCAATCCTACCTTATAACCTGTAGTGGCTTCCCACGGCTCTTAGGAAAATTGTGAAATACTTAACCATGGTCCACATGATCTGCCTCTTTCTCCAAACTCAGTTTGACTCACCTAGCTTTAGCACAAAAGCCTTTCTGTCCTGAAGCAGATACTTCTTTCCAGCCACAGGGCCTTTGCACCCAGAATACTTTCCTCCACTCCCACGCCCCCACCACCTACCTCCTCTGTTTTCCTGCTTTACCCCTGCCCATTCTACAGCACTCTGTCTAAAGGACACTTTCTGACCACCTAGCATAAATGGACCCCCAATCCTCATCTCTCCATGCATCCTTTAATTTCTCTTTATTGCTCACAATATGATTGTGTGATTATTGATTTACTGCCTATTTCCTCCCCCACACAATCCCCAGGATACAGTAAGTTTCTCAAGAGCAGGAACTATTTTATTCACTACTTGTCCCCAAGATTTAGCAGAGCGCCTGGCATAGAATAGCTGCTGAGGCTCAGAAGGATTAAGCAATTTGGCAAATTCATGCTTTTAACCTATAATCACACAATTTCAAAGCCCTCTAAACCCCCACAGGTTTAAGATCGTATCTTGGTTATTTTGAGCCACTATCTTCCTCACCCCCTCTCTGTGGAGGGCCATGTGAGAAAAAGGAAAGAACTATTTTATCTGCTTCAACTCTCTTACGAGCAGGCAACTGAGAATATTTATTTTTGGCAAGCCAGTTTTATGAGATAATTAAGAGGACAGACTCCAGAGCTAGCCTCTCTGGGTCCAGATCCCAGATCTGCATTTACTAGCTGTGTGACCTTGAACAAGTTACTTACCTTCTCTGTACTTCAGTTTCCTCATCTGTAAAATCAGTATGATTCAGAGTCATGTCTAATCACAAGGTTATTATAAGTATTAAAGGAGTGAATATACATAAAGCATTGAACATAGTGCCTAGCACGACATAAGTACCACATGCAGATTTAAAATTATTCTGTTTTATTATTTTGAAAAGTAATACAGCATATGATTTTTTTTAAAATCAAAATATTCAAAAGGCTATGGGGGGGGGGGGGGGAAACAGCTACCAATTTCTTGGGATTCATTCCAGAGATGTTCTATGCATATAAAACTCGTGTGTGTGTGTGTGTGTGTGTGTGTGTGTGTGTGTGTGTGTGTATGACCTTGCCCACAGGTCTCAACAATCTAAATTTCTCTGGGTTTCTTTGTTTTTGTTGTTGTTTGAGGGAGTTCAGTTTCTGGTACGGCCTTTTTTTGGTTTTGCTTTCTTCTGAGGGAGGTTGTTTTGTTCCTGTGAGAAACGAGGCAGTGAATCAATCTGGGTTGTCTCGGAGCTGGGCCATCAGTGACTTCCGAAACACCTGGACATTGTGGGTCGCGCCACAATTAAATGCTTGCTCCTGCTGAACCCATATGTGCGTCTGGATGCAGGCGCCCACTTTCAAGGTGAACCCACTCCCTGAAGGACGTGGAGTGCTCCGATGGTGCGAATCCGAGAGGATGCTGAGAGCCATAATCAGCTCTGGACTTGAGTGATTAGTAAATATGGAAAGCACTTCAGTGCTTTAAAATTGCTCCACAGCACGCAGCCAAGGAAACAGATTGCTCTGGTATTTATCCCCCAAGTTCACAATCATTTTCCATTTCAAGAACCGCCGAAAAATTAACCCACAGCTCTCAGAAATCGTTATCTCTCTTTCAGTTTGCGTCTGATCATTTGAATTCACATGTCCTTGTGCCAAACTGTCACTCCCCTTTAACGATGTAGAGGCTGCTGGTTACATCACCACGTTGACGGCATAGGCACTGCAGTAGCTCCCCTGTGGCAATAGGGACAGTTCGCTGGTGTTCCTGGCATCCACCCAGTTGAGTAGTGCATCCGCAGGGTGTACGATCAGGGTTCTTCCGAGAGAAGTTTCCAACTTCATTTGAAAAACATTGTCTAGGTTGGCAAACCACCACTTGTGAGATACATGTGGCTCTTTGGCCCCGTGAGTGTGGTTCTTCCACAAATTACCACAGCCTGGGCAAGTCTATTTTGAAGAAGTGGCATTAGAAGAAGTTTAAGTTTAAAAAATTTGGCTCTCAAAAGAAATTTCAGTCATTGTACTGTTGATATTTGGCTCTGTTGACTAATGAGTTTACCGACCACTGGTCTAGGACAAATGGGCTAGAGCAGGGGTGAGGAACATCTGGCCTGTGAGCTGTATAAGACCCAAGAAGTCATTCATTTGGTCTGGTTCTGCTAAGGCAACCGTAGGCGGGACTCAAAATTCAATAAATCTAGGAGCTTTTTTCATAGGAACATAAATTTATATTATATTAAGCGAATGATGTTAAAATTTTCAAATGGCCCTTGGCAGAAAAAGGGTTCCCCACCCCTTGGGCTAGAGAAAGACACTTCGCTCTGTCTCACCTGTGCCCCTCAGGGGTTTTTGTCTTCTCAACCCCAATGTTGAGCCCTTGCCAGAAGCTTTAATTGGTGGTTGTTTTGGCCTCTGAGCCTGAGTCACAAGACCTAGCAGGGCTTGTGTTACGGTTTGCTATTGATAAGTAACAAAGCACCCAACACTTGGTGGCTTAAAACCACCACCATACTGTTCATTGCTCATGATTTCATAGGTCAGAAGTTTGGGCAGGGATCAGCAGGGTGATTCTTCTGTTTCATGTGCTATCAGTCAAGGTCCATTGGTGTGATCAGTTAATAGATGGGCAGGTTAGACGGTCCCAAAGGGCCTCACTGATGTGTCTGGAACCTTCATAGGCACAGCTAGAGGGCTGGGCTCAGCTGCACCCTTCTGACTCTCCACGTTATGTCATAATATATATATCATAATCACTCAGCATGGTTGGACTTCTTACATGGCAGCTAAGGGTTCCAAGAGCAAACCCTCCGAGCTCAGGGAAGCTGCAGGCTTGCAGTGATCTAGCCTGGGAAGTCCCAGAATGGCTCTTCAGTACATTCTGACAGTCATGAAGGCCAGACCAAACTGAAGGAGAGGAGACTCAACTTCTCCTGGGAAGATACCATAGAATCTGAGATCACCTTTAATATAATCCAGTCTGTCTCAGGGACATACACCGCTGGTTGGCTCACCTGCTCATATTCATTGGTATGCTCTA